CTCTCGTCCGATGGACTGAAAGCTGAAAGCTCACTCTTGATCCAGAATGCGACTTAAAACGGCGCAAGGTACGAAGCCGTGCAACGACTACTTCGATTATAATAGCAAAGTAATGTTGCATAACGCAGATAACTAGGCGTGGTAACCTTAACCTATGCATTTGGTCACGATATTCCGCTGGTATTGTTGAAGAAGACGAAGTACCTAGGTACCATGGAGAGAAAGAGCAAACAACAATCAATTGAACGATATTGTCGACGACATGAATTAACAAACAATCCCAAAAAATACATATAAAAATGAACGAAAATATCCTGCTTATAGTTTAATACAAAGCTCAGTAGTTCTGGGTTGTTGCTCAGGTGTAAAATTATTCTAAATTGATAGAACTTTTTTTAACAGTTAGATGTAAATTATGCCATTTAGGTTTGTTCACTCCTGGAATAGTTTACGCCAATTATTGTGAACGAATACTTGATATGATGGTAGGTACCAATGGTACCAATACTCAGTTGCTGTATAAACGGGTGGCATTTAGGCAGAGTAGTCTATTTCGTGACTGTTTTTATCGATAATTGGGAACCCACTATAAACACAGTATTAACTTTAGAAAATCTTGATTGTTTAGTTAATATTATGAAGATGTAATAAGAACAATAAATATTCACTTTGAATGTCACTAAACTTCTACCAGACATAAAAATTAGATACAAAAAAAAAGTTGATTCTGATTTGCACCCCCCTCAATTAGTTGTTACTTAACAATCGCAATGTTCTTCTCATGTATTGTTTGTTTCATTTGTCTACTAGTTTCTTGGTAACCGCATTGTTGTCCGCAGGACTCGTTTGTTTCATTTGTCTAGTAAATTCATGGCAACCGCATCGTTATACGCATGACTCGTTTGTTTCATTTGTCTAGCAATTTTTTAACAAATACATCGTTGTTATAATGACTCGTTTATTTCATTTGTCTAGCAATTTCTTAACGAACACATCGTTGTCATAATGACTCGTTTATTTCATTTGTCTAGCAATTTCTTAACGAACACATCGTTGTCATAATGACTCGTTTATTTCATTTGTCTAGCAATTTCTTAACAAACACATCGTTGTCATAATGACTCGTTTGTCTCATTTGTCTAGCAATTTCCACACAATCACATCGTTGTCATAATGACTCGTTTGTTTCCTTAGTCTAGCAGTTTCTTGGCAATGGCATTGTTGCCCTTATGACTCGTTTGTTTCATTTGTCTAGCGATTTCTTAACGAACACATCGTTGTCATAATGACTCGTTTGTTTCATTTGCCTGGCAATTTCTTAACGAACACATCGTTGTCATAATGACTCGTTTGTCTCATTTGTCTAGCAATTTCCACACAATCACATCGTTGTCATAACGACTCGTTTGTTTCCTTAGTCTAGCAGTTTCTTGACAATGGCATTGTTGCCCTTATGACTCGTTTGTCTCATTTGTCCAGCAGTTTTTTTGGCAACGGCATCGTTATCCGCGTGACTCGTTCGTTTAGGTACACTGTTATTCTTTCTCTCATCAATTATGTCGTTTAAAACAATTGTTTTTGTTAACGAATCACGGAAATGTCTACTGGAAGGTTTATGTGTAGTGTACTTGTTACGACGCAATAAACGAAACGCATTGAAAGTAATTGTTTATGTAACATACATACCTCTGACGAGATATCTAGCTAGTACCTTCGCAACTGAAATTATTCAAATGCCCACGGCATCACCGAGGATATCTCAACTGAATTCCTCATGAAACAAAAACAAAACAAAAAGAAATATATAAAACAATAGCCTATGGGAACAAGATCAGCGGCGATTATTCGAGGTTATCCATCAAGTTTGTAAAACGACTACAGACCATGTAACCCAATTTTTTTTCTATCCTACCTACATATAAAAACAAAACAGAGGCGGCACTACTAGAAAATATCTGTAGTTAAGAGAATTTTCTCAAAATTTGGAAATTCTACCCTGACAATTTTGTCCTACAACAACAACCTTAAAATATTGTTACGCTGTCATCCTTAATGAAGTCCTATTCATTGCATCAATGATGGATGCTACATCACCTATGTCGCTGTCGGTTGAAGAACACAATAATTCCAGTTTAGCATTTCACTCCGAAACCATCCGCAAGAATTTTATAACAATCGACATTCCTTGGTCCGTGTGATTCCCCTTATAAGGAGAAGATGAAGAAATCATAAATCTCGCTCCGTACGCATCACTCAATTAAAGCGCCATGTATTACAACATTGACATGTGTAGTTGCAGTTAATGGTTTTCGACAAGGATTGTCGTAAGTCAGAAGGACACGGTCGGATCAGGATAACAAATTGAAAACGATATAAATCAATGACACCGGTACGGCCTGTGTAGTAATAACAATGTTCATTATTTATATATGTAACATGCATTTAAATTCATTTTGCGACCGGTGCGATATGTTATACAGGCCTGACGCTAGAAGCTGGCGGAAATTTTTAAATGGCGTGAATGCGCGGTGGCAAAGGTAGGCAGTTTTAGGTATAAAGATTGCAGCCCTCATTCTTCTGTATTCCTATCAGGGGCGTAGATTAAATATTTTAAAAAAAAGTGAGCAAGTAATAGACAGACAAACAGAAGAACTAATTTTTGATGTTGGTGACAGCGATAGAGATTCCCATGATGACAGTGAATGAAAACTAACTATAAAACAAAAGCAATAGGTTAATTTTTTCTTTTTGGTAAGTTATGTTTTTACATTATTTTCTAGTACGCTACTGTCCTATCTGTATTAATACTATAATTTACGCCTACTGAAAGCTTATTTGTGTATCGGTTCCAAGTGACTTACCCAAATAGGTCATAAATGGGCAAGTACCTGTGCGACCGCTCGCCAGCTTCCTTCGTCAGACCTGTACTT